TTTAGTATTAATATTGTTTTAAAATTTCTTTTTTAATATTAGCTATTTATAGTATTAGTAAGTAAGTTATTTTTTTAAATATACAAAGAGTAGACAAAATATTGCAAAATTTTTTAAAAAAATTATATTTAATAATTTTTTTTAATAATAAAATTATAAATATATTATTAAAACAATATATTTATTTAATATCAATATTTTGTTAACCTTTCTTCAATTAGAATGCAAGTCATAATTTGTCATAACATACTTATTATTAACTTTTAACATATTAATAGAGATATGCTATTTTAATATTTTTGAATAATTTATTTCAAATTAAAAAGATTTAATTGATAGTTTAGTTCAAAAAACTTGTTGTTTAACAATATGCCATAGGTTCTTAATCAGATTAAGATCTGGACTTTGAGCTGGCCAATCTATAAACTGAATTTTATTAGTATCAAAAAATATTATAATAATCTTTGCAATATATAGAGATGTATTATTATGCTGAAAATTAGATGGCTGTTGTAGATCAATTAGGAATATTATTAATTTCCAGTAAGAAATATTCTTCAAGTATGTTAATATAAAATGCCACTGTAAAAAAATTATTTTTCTTTTTCTTTACTTTTCTGGTTCTATTTTTTTTTTTCATTTTTATTTTTATTTTTATTTTATCATATTTACTATATTTTTTATTTATCTTATTTTTTATTTTTTTTCTTTTTATTTGTTCATTTATTCTTCTATTTATCTTTATTCCTATCTACTGTTTTTTATTTTCTTTTTATCTATCTTTTATAATTTAACATATCTTTTATCAATTTATACAAAAAAACTAAAGGGCTAACTACAAACCAGAAAAACCATTTCTAATGCATTTGACTTGGGCTGTGTTTAACAGTAGTAATTAAACAATCAAGATTTTATTCTTCATTTGGCTTATGCCATATTTGACAATTTTGCACTTGTTAAAATTAGATAAATATGGACTTGTCACTTTATAATATTTTTTTAAAATTTTTTACAATTCATTTTTATAATTATGATATCAGACAGGATATTTTGCAATATTATTATTTGAAATAACTAGTTTTTTATAGTTGATATAACTTTTTAACTGTTTTTAATAAAAAGTATAATAAATAATATTTTCTGATACTTTTTTTTGTTTTATAATAATAGAGGGAATTCAATTGAACAATATATAAACATTTGATTTTTGATAGCAAGCTTTTTAAAAATATTATGATTAATAGTTAATGGTTGTTTAGTTTTCTTCACTTATGATATAACTGATCTGGTCTTTAGAAACTAGTTAACTACTAAATCTACAGTTGATTTTTTATAACCTACTTGAGTTGCAATAATACATATAATAGAAATCTTCATTATTATAGTCATAAATTATAGCTGCCTTCTATATTTTAGTTAAATCTTTTTTAGTATACATATAAAAATAGAAAAGTGATTATTATGAAAAATCATGAAAAAAAAATTATCAATAAAAAATTTTTATAGTAATAATTTTATTTATTTATAGTTATTTATATATTTTCTAATACATAATAAATATACTATAAAAATTTTAAGTGTCTATAATATTTTGTCTATCCTTTATATATTTTTTAATGTACTAATAAATAATAAATAGTATTTATTTATAGAAAAAAAAATTAATAATTTAAAAAGATTTTTAAAAATTGTTAACTATTTTTAGATTCCATTGAGACAATATATATGTTTATTGTTATTGTTGTGTTTTGACATGTTTTAATATATTATTGAAAAATATTTCAATAATTGTCTTACATTTGATTTATTATATCTTTATATTGATATACAGTATTATATAATATAATATACAGTAATAATCATAAGTTATCGATCCATCTCTAACTTGGTACAGATGTAATACAAATTAAAATTTTTATTATTATTTTAAAGTATATTATTTATATCAATTATTAATATATAGTGAAGTCACCATTTGCCTTTATTAAAGCTTCTATATAATGTTTCATACTATAAACCAAATTTTTAGCAAGATTGTCAGGTAAGTTGCTTCATTCTTTTGTTAATTCACTTTTTAATTCCCAAGTATTCTAATTTTTTTTTTGCTATATTAATTTTTAATAGTCTCCAAATATTTTCGATCAGATTCTGATCTGGTAATATTGCTAATCAGAGAAAAACCTTGACATTATTTTTCTCTTTCCATTTACTTATCAATTTAAAATGATGTTTTGAATTGTTGTCTTCTTGTAAAATCCAATTAGTACAATTTTCATTATAAAGCTTGGAAACAGAAAGTAAAAAGTCTCTTTTGTAAATGAAAATCATAAAATTGGCATCTAGATTTTGTTGAAAGCAGATTAACTCATCAAAACCCAAAGATAAAAAACAACCCCATATATTCATTTTCATTGAGTGTTTAATACTATGAAATACTTTTCTTTGTTCAGAAAACTATTGCACTTTTTTTGCATATTGATATATGTAAAAGATACTTTTGTCTGAAAAAATAATACTGTTTCAATTAAAATTTTGATATTTTTTTGCCCATTATAAATGTTTTTGTTGATGTTTTTCCAAAAGTAAAGGTTTGGACAATTTGTTCATGTATTTTCCCCCAAACTCATGAAAACGTCAATTAATTATACTTATACTAATATAAATATATTTTTTTATTTGTTTTGAATTTCAATACAACTTGGATCTATTATAACAATGATACTCTTTCCACTGATCCCTTTGCCAATACAAAAAATAGATATTTCAAGGAAATTTTTATATTTCTTTATAATAAAGTCTATATACTTTCATTAACAACACTTATATTAAGAGACTATAGTCTCCCCACTTGTTTCTTTCTTTCTTTAACATAAACTTCTTGTATTTCTGCAAGTAAATATAAGAAATACTTACTTATAAAGTTAAAGGTAAGAAAACTTTGTTAGGAAAAAGAATCTGTAGAAAAAACATTCTCCTCTCTTCCTCCAGAGATTCAAGACCCTAGAAAAGACTGGCACGGTTTTTGGAACTCTTCTCTTATTTTTCTCAAGCTTTCTTCTATCTATTCAAATGTATAAACTTTTTTGAGATTTTTTTGAAGAATTTTGTCTACCTCAGTTTGACCCTGAATTTTTGGTTACACCAGAATCCTTGAATGGTGATTGGCTCGAATTTAGGATTGGTTAATCTACATGTAGTAAAAAATGTAAGCAAAACACGTAACTCTCATATGTTCTATCTTGTACAACACAAAACCTGATGATGCAATTGGATATAGTAAAAAGAGCAAGACAACAAGATGCTTTTTTGTTAAGAAGTATTATGGTGTTCCCCTTCACCTCTTGGACTGGTTTCTTTTCTCTTTAAGATCAAAAGAAGTCTTATTCCAATCCAGTAACAAGTTTTTTCTATTGTTGATTATTTCGAAAATAGTTGGAGAAAGGGGTTTTAAAATTATCCACTGGTTGAAAAAAGTCCTAAATCCTTGGAGATTAGGCTAAAAGAAAAATTACCAATTAAAATACCAACCCTTTCTAAAGGTTAGAAGTCTTTGAATGTAAAATTTCAAGAATTACTTTTCTGGAAGTGTCCTTAAATGTTCTTGGTTAACAATGGAATAGCAGAAATTAAATAGTTTGCTCAGCTACAGGTAATGGTAAAGGATTTATCCCTATGGATTGAAGCTAATATTGGAGAATTTTTATTTACCAGAACAAACTCTTCTACTACCCTTTCAATTTCTCTTTAATTTCTTAAAAAATAAAAAAATTTTTTTACCTCTTAGGACTACAGGTTCGTATTGGGGTGACAGTCTGAATGTAGGCTGGCGATGATTTTTCTCAAGGCCAAGGAGCAGTCTTGAAAAAGGGGCGATTTTATCATTCCCTACAATCATACTTAGAGAGTTATATAGCTTATTGACAGGTGTTCTGCATTAGACACAGTTTAGCTCTAATATATAGCCTTAGGACTTAATGTATTATTGTAATATTTCTTTAAAGAATAATAAACACAGCGAATGCAGTCTGATTAGAGGAAAAAAAAAATAAAACTTGAATCTTGTTTTTTTTCTGCAAGCTGAACAATTACCTGATCTTGCTTTGGAGCTGTCTTGTGTGGCTGACCAGTTATTTTATTGTCACTCAAATCCTCTGATTTTTTCTATCTTTGAGACCAAAAAACTACTATACTTTTAGCACAGCCAACATACTTAGCTATATCTTTAAGTCCTAGTTTTGGTCTTAAGAAATAAAAGCATAAAAATATGATTTTATATCGTTTGTGGATCAGTAAAGATATTTCTTATCATTGAAGTTTAAATACCTTCTAAAGTGAGAAATAAACAAGTCACTGATCTATAATTAACATGACAAACAGTATTTGTATTATCCTTTATGTGTATAAAATTTTGGTGCAATTCATTTTATTTTCAAAAAGTTAGAGGTGGGTCAATGACTTATAATTTTCACTATATATAAAATATAATAAACTTTTTTTTAAAGCATAGCAATTTGTTGTATTAGAATATACAATAATTTGAAATCAAATAATAAAGAATTTTTTATATTTTTCTGTTGTTTTTTTAATTTACTATCTATTGACTTGTATATTTCTTTAAAGTTAAATACAAAAAATTGAAAAATATCTGAAAATTTTAAAATATTTTTAATGCAACTAATCCATAACAAATAATATAAGAAATATTTGATATTATAATTTAAAACACTTATTTTGTAATATTTTAGGTTTGTTTTATATTGTTCATAAAAATATATTCTTGCTGAATATTTTTGGATAAAGAATTAATTGACAAATTAAAATGTTTATTAAAAAAAGAAATTGTTTAATTTCCTATTATGGGATTTATATATCAAATATTCATGTGAGAGAAACAGTAAATGGTGACATTGTTGTGTCACTATTAACTATGATTTGTATAAATTAATCTTTTATATCTTCTGTTGAATTCATTGACTCCATATTTATAATATCTATACAATTTATGACTATTTTCTGGTATTAAACAGTAGAACAGTGTATGTTATTAATGTGTAGACATAGTTTAAGAAGCAAATTAAGAAAAATTCGTACCTTTGCTCTCCAAACACCTGATAGGAGCATGATTAAATCTTTTATCTTTTCTATTTTTTTCGGAATTTTATAAAGTTCTCCTCTTTTAAGAACTGATACGTATCCCTTTTGGGTTGACAATTGACAGATTTGTAGTTTAAGACCTGCAAAAAAAAAAATTCTTCGGTTTTTAAACTGTTCTAATAACTACTTATAAAGTAAATTTTAACTTACCTGAATGCTGTAGTCCGATAACCTGCAATTGTCGGACCTTTTTTTCGTCTAATTTTACCAAATGAGATAAACAAACATACATGTCGTGCATTGCCTTTCCAAGTTTAAGTCCATCTTTGAGCCGATCTGTAGAATTAACCTGAACAAACTCACTCTTCACTTCTATCGTCCCATACTCTATGTCATCGTCATATGTTCGGAAAACCCCATCAAGCTTACATCCTATCTTTGTTATCTTTGTTCTTTCCTTTCGAGCTCGCTTCCGATTCTTTCTTTTTGCTACGGATTTACTTGATGCTTCTTTCCTATAAATACCAAAGATATCATTATAAACTTAATTAGTTATAATTTCAATTATGAATTTATATACCTAACAGTTTGTGGTCCTCGAACATTGCTAAAAGCACGATCAACGACCACTGACCAAATGTTCGCATCAAACCAGCCCTCTAAGTGTTCCTTTCGGAGTACTTCATCGGGATCTTCATAAAGCATTAGGCTATTTTATATACAGTATAAGTATTTTCATAAGTATTTTCGGCCAATGTTAAGAACAAATAAGCATAAAAATACTTACAAATTCCTCATAACAAGCTCTGCCCATTCAGCATCAAAATGACTTTCGCGATCATATTGTTCGTTTTTGTCCCGATAGGATGTAGACTCTAGAACCTTCCTTAAATCAGTAGTAGTTCGGACCTAAAAATTCATCGGTAAATGATAAATCAGGAATTATTTGTTGTTAAGCAAAACCGTTATAAAGGAAGGAAAGAAATCCTGATACTTGCATTCCTGAATCTTGATAGTGATCTGGCAAAATTTTCGTCAACTAAAGGCTGTTTAAAGATCACATTTTTAATCTCACACCAATCTTCTTCACTGAACAGCTCTTTTGTTTCCCAGTCACTTAAATCAATTGTCCAAGAATGTATAAGAGATTCATTTAACAATGCTTTTCCTCCATGAAAGAGAACATCTTCAACACATGTTCCTGAAGACAGTAACCACTTTTTTGACTCATTCATTCCTGTATAGAACTCGGTAAAATACTTCAGCTTTGATGAGATTAATAATAGTGCGGACTTCGGTGCGGGCTTTGAACCATCAGTATCACTAGAAAAGAACAATACGAACGTGTTTCACTTAAAAATCAAAGGGGTTTCAGGCTAATCGTCTTCTTGAATATCGTGATCATAATATAATACCTAGGTATATACTCTGACTCTAAATCTTCCGATTCCGATTCTTCAGAATCGGTCTAAAAAGATCCATCTCATTAGTGGGCTATTCAAAACCTTGGTAACACATTTATTTGCGAACTACCATACGTTGTCATCCTCCTCGTCGTCAACTTCTGATTTAAGCCGTTTCTTAAACAAATTTTCCGATTGTTTTCTGGGATTTTTAAAGAATTTGTTGGTCTCGTCTTCCAATCCCTAAAGAAACACAAAATTATATATAAATAAATTCAATAAATTAGTAGATCACCTTTATCCTAAAAACATTACATTTCTATCATAAGGCGAATACATACATTTAATGACTTCGAATTCTCATCAGAATTGTCATTTTGATAACTGAACAATACGAAAAATGTGAAAATTTGTTAAAATGAAAATGTCAATAACAAATAATGGGATCTATACCTTGAGCCATTTAATTCTCCATTATTTTCCTTGCATTGATATCCTTGTCTAATGTCATTTATTGTATCATCAGTTACAATTGAGTGTAACTCTTTTTTTTCATAAATGGTTTGATTCAACGCGTACATAGAATAATCTGACTATATAAAATAATAAAGTTAAGGCCTTATGATTGCATAAGCTAAAGAGAATATATTTTACTAACCTTGATAGATTCCATTTTAGCTTTTGTCCAAAATTTCTTTACAGGGTTGGATGATTTCTCATCCTTAAATAAAGATAATATTATATATTACATGGTGTAAAATTAAATAAATTACTAATATTACTCAAAACCAATAAGTTAGACGCCATTAAATGGCCGGAGCCTAACTACCAGTGAGGCGGACCCCCCTAGTAGCAACATGCCACAGTCACAAGCAACGCGGACTAAGCCTGCTTATTCCGAATTCTAACTTATGTATTTGGCACATTTCTCTTGTATAAACATACTTCAAATCTGATGAGACTCTCTTTAGCTTTAACGCGATTTGAATCATCTAACAAAATAACTCTTTCGAGTGCTGTCCTGTAATTAAAATGTTCAGTAGCTTTTTGTCCTGTGAAGTTATCAGCGTCTTTTCTAAACTTTAAAAACGAAATAAGTGACCAATCCATATATTCTTTGAAATAAGCTAAAATCTGTGGACTATGCGATGACATTTTTGGAGATCAGTTTTGATTTTGGTAGTGATCCCAGCAGAGTTTAAGTTACTATTTGGGGTGCAAAAAAATGCACCCGGTACGTCACTCGTGACTGCTTTCGAGTGAAATTTCGAATTATGTATAATTCACGTGATCGATACGTGACAAATTTCGTGAATTTCGAGAAATTTTTAATTAAATCTCGCGGAACCGACATTGCTCTTAATACAATTTAAGTTGAATTTTTGCAGAATAAAAATATAGATGAATAATTAATTATTTTTAATATTTTTATAAATTTTTATTATAAATTGGATAAGTTTTATTAAATAAAAATATTTTAATAAAAACTATTACATTTTAAATTTTTTTATTTTTGTTTTTTGTTTATTTTTCATAATCAAACTACAAGTATTTATTATGTTTATTTGATCATTGGAGTGAAAAACATACTAGTACAAGATTTTTATGCATAAATTAAGCTAATACAGTACTTGAATACCTGCCATTAATCATCACTGGTGCACTTTAAAAAAAAAATAAATAAATAAAAATAATAATATATATTATAGTAATTACTTCCCTGTTCAATCAAAATTATATTACTATTTAATTGTAATAAACTTGTAAATGCATCACTGCATAATCGTAACTTAATCACAATAAATTTGTAACTACATCAATATATAATCTCAATAAATTCACAACTACATTGCTACTTAATCGTAATTATATTGTTTGCCCAATTATTGTATGACGATTCCGCAAATAAATCTATATGTAATCACAACCAAATTGCTGTAATCTTGTAGTGATTTGGTGACAATTTAGTAAAGAATTCAAAAATTTTTAATTGCTACTTAATTGGAGAGATTTGGTAGCAAAATAATTACTGCTGCCATAACTGAATTGATGTGATTTTCTCACGAATATCATAACTATTTAGTGGTGGCTTTGTGACAATTTGATAAAGTTTCAGTGGTAGAATAGCAAAAAAATAAACACTTTCAATAAAGTAAAAGGGTATAATAGATCCTCTGCCTTCAACCATATAACTATACAATACTACACCATGCCAAGAAAAAACATTCAAATGCCAATGCCTATTACATTTACCTGATAGAAAAGAAGGAAGTAGTGCTAATGACAGAAAACCAGATTATAGCAAACAAATGAAAAATTCACCCTATTAATGTGACAACTCAAAAGACAATTCCCACTTACTAATTTATAATATTTGATATGAAACGATAACAAAATGATAACTATATGACAGTAATAATGCAATATAATAAGCAACCACTAAAACAGTAAAAGAGAATAAATACTAACCTTAAAAATTCGAGAAACAGAATTCAGTCCAGGTTCCGGTGTCCTGGTGAAAGAGAATTAACTAACTAGAAAATAAATATTAACTAGAAAATAGATACTAACTAGAATATAAATACATAAGATTCGTACAAATAATAAAAGAAAAACGATATAGACAATTAAAGAACTATTTGTAAGAATGACAGTTACCCAAGGATTGCTTATAACAACAGAAAAGATGGATACAGGCACAAAGCAATTTCTTTGTCATAAAAAGAGGATCTGTCTATAAAAAGAACAAGCATAAGCAAGAAAATTTCCTAAAGGCATTAAGACACCACCATCCATTCACTGAATATTTAGAGAAAGATATAATGTTTTATAAAATTAAAAGTTTATATTACTGGCTGCAGTTGTACGAAAATATTCGGACATATATACACTCCTGTGACCAATGTCAAAGGAGAGGAAAGAATAGGCAATATAGACTCCTATACCCTATACCTATTGAAAAGCCTTTCTCGAAAGTAAGAATTGATATCATGGGACCCTTACCCATTACTCCTAGAAAGAATCGATATATGGTAGTCACTATAGACTATATAACAAAATGACTGGAGGCTCGGACCCTAAAAGAAGTGACAGTACAAAAGATTGCAGAGTTTGTCTATAATGATTTAATATGCTGACACGGTTATCCAACTTATCTGTTATCCAATCAAAAAGCAAATTTTAGAAGTCGAATATTGAATACATCTTTAAAGAAATTTTGTATCAACTATTTATACTCTATGCTATACCATCACAGACAAATAAGTTAGTAGAGCGGTATAATTGCACATTGTGTAAGTTTATTAAATAATATAACCGATTGGGATTTAATGATACTTTCTGCTTTGTTTGCATATTGAACAGCATAGCAGGAGATAACTAAGATGATACCATTTTACCTTATTTATGGAAGGGAAGCACAAAACCTGATCCACTTTATAAAAACAGATGAGTTATTAGAGAAAACAATACTCCAATGAGTTTTTAACCTAATAGAAATACTGATATAGCAATGGGAAAACACGGTGGCATGAATAAATGCCGCTCAGCAAAAACTAAAAATGTGACATAATCAGAGACTACAGGACAAAAAAAGTCTTAGTATTGGAGACAAGATATTAATGTATAAGGCGTCTCAAGAAAACTTATGAAGTAGTAAACTAGATTCAAAATGAGTAGGGCAATTCTATGTACACAAGCTCAAATCAGATGCCGTATATTGATTATATACAACAGGTGGGAAAGTACTAAAGAAACTAATCAACTAACAGCTGTTAAAAAAATATGAAGAGCCAATAGAGTATTAGTAATCACAAGTTTAATGCTGTAAGTCAATTACATTACTATAGGAACAAAACATATAGAGTATAAATGGAAATAAATAAAAAGGAAGGAGAGAGAAAGAATAAACATAATGGACATCAACTTTACCTTAGTCACTATAGACTTATTAACAACTGAGCCTAATAATATGGATATTTTATCATAATTCCATATAGAGAGTCAAGACATAATGACAGATATATCGATTTTGTTTAGGCAGATGAAAAGAGTATAACAATTAAAACAATAGATAGATGCACTCATGGAAGGTGCTATTACAACATTATCAAACTGGATATATGCACATCTTCTGCTTGTTGAAAAACAAGATGTTGGTCAAATATATCGAATGTCATATATAACAATTAACATGATTAAGACCATATGCGTCAATACTTACCAAAGCTTAATAATCGCTTATAGTACTTGCAAGCAAGGAGGAAAAAGAAAATTGTGAAAAAAAAAAAATAGAACAAACAGATAAAAAAGTAAGATAAAAAGGAAAATGGAATAATGTTAGTTTAAGTATAGTTTAGAATTTATTCAACAATGACATTAGATTAGCTTACCATATTTAGTTTTAACTTTTAATTTCTATAATCAATTAATTATTAATTATTTCCTTATTTCTACCTGATTGATCAGTATTTTTACTTTTATTTTTCTATTTTTACTTTATTTTGAAAGAAGCAAAAAAAAATCAAAGAAAATTTTTGAGCAAAAAAGAATATTTTACTTTATTTTATTTTCCTTTTTATTAGTATAGTGATTCTTATTTTTGAAATTATACAAATAGTTGAAAATACCTATCATCTTTTTGATCTTTTATTCCTTGTGATTTATGTGAATAAATAATATAGAATCCAGATATAGCTGTAGATAATCTTGGTTCCTAGAGATAGAAACTCATAGCATATGCTAGTTAAGGGTTGATTAGCCATAGCACCCTAGGTAATTTTATCTTTGGAGCAGATTGATGTTTAAGGCTATAGTATCCAAATTATATAATTTATATAAACATGTTTTGAATAATTATTTGAATGGATTTTATTATTTTACTTTTATTTTTATTTTTATTACTTTATTATTATTATGCCTTATAATTATATAAATAATTTCTTAATTTTTACATCCTTTTTAAAAAATAGGAAAGAGAAAAGTATCCTTTAGCTACTGTATGGATTACAATACCAGGTTACACGATGGAAATGTAGATACCATGATAGTCCAGTTCTCAACTTGTCCAAATACAAACATCATTGAACCTATACATGTGGTGTAAATTATTTTGCTGTTGACTCAATTCCCAAAATTCTCAAAAATAATTGCGTCATAATTCAATTATTTATATGTTTTAATAGTGACTCAATTAATTGCGTCAAATAATTGCATCAATTGTGTCAAGGATCTACGAATTTCAGCAACATATATAATTGAACCCTTAAATGGAAAAAGAAATCTAAAAGCACTAAGAAAAACAGCAATGTAATGGAAGTGGTCCATAGAGCACTTTTTATCTATTACAGTCAGTCCACAAAGCATACTCAGTGACTACTGCATTTCCTATAATAAATTTATAAATAATAAAAGAGAAAAAACTTGAAACCTATAGAAAGGAAAGCAAACCTCTAATTGAATTCAAAGGTGGAAAGGACCTATCAAAAAGAGCTGAAGCTGGAGTTCCTAATAGTTGGAGAAGTTCTTCCAATTGAGTCATCCTATTTTTCAAATTTTAATTTTCCAACTCCAACTCCTTATTACGACAATAAAAGAAGCGAGCATCGGAAAGTATTTTCAAGCCTGCTTTTAACTTGGTAACTTCTTCTTCCAAGGTTTTATACCTTTTTTCATGACATGCCAAATGCTCAAAAATTTTAATTCTTTTTTGAAGTATTACTATGGTTTCCCAGGAAGAATCTTTGTGACTGGAGCAAGTAAGAAAAACAGCTTTGGTGATGTGATTTTCCCTAAGCATAATTTCAAAAATTGAAAAAAATGAAAAAGTTGAAAGAATTAATACTAAAACTATTGATTTAAATAGAAATAATTCTTATTGTGGATAATACAAAAGTAGTATTTGGCAAATAAGTTTTGAATATAGTATGGCAAGCATGGAAATACTGATTAATGAGAATATAGCAAATCAGCATGAGAATACTTGCTAAGCTTTGCAAATACTTGAGTACTCTTATCAACTTAGGAAAATTGATTGTTGAAAGGAAATAACTATGAAATTTCCAAATCAGAATAAAGTTAGGGATTACTCGTAGTACTTGTAATTAAGCAGAGGAAAATATTATAAGAAAAAATAATGAGTAGATGATAGAAAATTATAAGAGTAAGTATATCAAGTATAAATGGTATAAAATAAAAATTTATATAAATGACCTGATAATGGTCAAAAAGTGAGAAGAACAAGAATAGATACTGTGCAACTGTTAAATAAAAACTATCTTTATTTGATAAACTATTGTCTTGTGATTGACCTTAATGTTGTGTAGCTAACAGAATTGCTGTGCGTGAAGTAACCATTGAGGACACAAAATCAACAAACTGATTTGCATCAGTGTTACGAACTCTGACCAAATTTACACATCTCTTTTGAGCAGAAACCATACCAATCATTATATAGTGTGAGACAGATCAAAGCAATTGACTCACTGTGATTTCACTATAACAGTATCAAGAAGCTATAAATATCTTTTTTTTTTTTTGCAAAAGGCATTAAATGTGAGACATTTATTAAACTTTCGTTTTTACGTCATTACATTAAGAATCTATAACATACTAAGTAAATAGATTAATCTTAGTCTAATACAAATAAAGTTGACATATGTGAACCTTTAAGAACCCAAGTAGGGGAAAGGAAAAAAAGGTAAAAATAACTAGCTGCTAGTTGTATCATAAACTTTGCATATATGCTTCATAAGTGATGATAGTGGAGGATGGTGCAGTGCTTGGATTTTGGATTGTGGCCAGGATCTGTATAACCATGTGGCCAAAGATGGTGTGATTAAGGGTCATCAATCCTGTCCATATTGGTGATCCAGATATCAATATGGCATAATTGGCTTATGCTGATCTTTTGATGGAGGTAAGCTGCTCATAGTTTTTATTATGAAAAATCTGGAAGCTGGGTAAAACAAAAAGACAGTCCCATAATTATTCTTTTTGAGTAGTATGTGGAATGATGGTATTATCAAGTATTCAAAATAGAGTTGCTCATAACTGCATGAGAAGCTATAAATATCTATTTAGTATTAGGAAGAATAGTACTCAATAAAGATAAAATTAAATTTTAAATACATTTGAAAGAATTGAATAAAAGAGTTAGTAATTATCATAGAGACCTGTGGGTTTATAGTA